ATGGAGGTGGAGTCCTCGGGCTCCGGCTCCTCCACGTCATCCGACGATTCTTCCCAGTCGGAGTGATTACGGCGGCGTCGCCTTCAAAAGTCTGAGCTTCACTTGCTAAGTTTGTCGGCGGTCGGGTTCGCGCTTGACCTCCCCGACGTAGATTTTTGATTGCTTAAGCAACCGGCCTCGCGACATCCCAGCCATGGCGGCGGCAGCGGCGCCCACTATCCCTACGGCCGCGGCGGCGATGGCTTCGCTTGACGACTTGCTCACCACGGCCGGCGCAGCCGCGCCCATCAAGGAGTACATCACGGCGCGTGGCATCTCAGCCACGCCCACCTTGGCGCTGATCGCAGAGGACGCGGCGGCTTTCACCGACAAGGTTGTGCGACCGTTCCTCTCCGGCTTCACCCGCCAGGGAGCCATGCATAAGGCCGCGAAAGGCGACGAGGACGTCTCCAAGGCCATCTTGGTACACTTGTTCACGGAGGCCCGGCGACAATGGCAGGCAGCCACTGCGACACCGCCGGCGCCACCTCCCAGGACAATGCCGGCAGCCGCCCCACCCGCGGCGACATCCCAGACCACAGCCGCGGCGCCCGAAGAGAAGCCACCCAAGACCTTCAGCCAACGGGCGGCGCAGGTGCGGGCCTATGAGGAGAAGACCATCGACGGCGTCAAGCGGACCTTCCCCGCAGAGAAGCTCCTCGGCGCCGAAGAGGTCCTGGCGAGGCTGTGGCACGAACACACCAGGTCCAAGGACTATAAGCCCCTCGGCATCGGCGAGATAGTCTCGCGGCGAACCTGGACTTCAGGCGGCGACCTCAACACCATGGCCTCCTCTAGGTCCTCCTCGAGTGCCGGCGCCAAGATCCTCAAGCTCATCGACGACAAGCTCGTGGCCGAGGACAGCGACGAGTGGGCGCCCAAAGGCATTATGCTGACCCTCGACGGGATCGAGGCAGCGAAGTGGGCTTGGATCCTCTGCGGTTATGACGAGGAACGGCGGGTGGAACGCTTTACCGACTGGTTCGGCGAAAAAGCCCGATCCAAGCAAGCATCCATCCCGGCGGTCCACTCCTTCTGGGCGGACGCTATGTGCCGACACGCGGCGCGGCATCACCTTCGGCGAGGCCACCCGCAACATCATGGCGGACACGGCGACCTGGAATGAGTTCATCTTCGAAAACGTCGAGATGTCCACGGCGGACGCCAAGCAGATCTCCTCCGCCCTCGGCGCCCAACCGATTCTGGTCGACGCCGCCGACTTCGGCTGGATTGGCTGACCACGCCTTTGGTGGCTTTAATTGGAACCAGATGCGCATGGACCCTGAGACCCCCTCCATGCAGTGGTCTCGCAAGGGCCACTGGGACCGACTTAGGGTCGAGGAGGCCCGGCGGGCGGCGGACACATCATTGGACATGGACGGCTTGACCTTCGACGACTCAGTGCTGTCTGGGAGGCGACGCCTCCCCTGCGCCACCACCCCGGCGGCCGATGAGAACGGGAGAGCGGCGCCCAGAGGGTGCCGTGGGAAGATCCAGCCGAAGCTCTCCATACCGGCGCCGAAGCTTCACCACATCCCGACCCGCTTTACCAAATGGGCCGGCGCGGCAGAGCTCGACGACCGCACACGCCACCGCCTCATTGGCAACGGCTGGCATTGGGGTGTGGCCCGGCACCTGCTGCTCATACTGGTGGTGGCCACCAGCTGGACTCAGTCACAAGCGGCGCCAGCGGGCCCACCGCGCACATCGACGATCGACTGGGTGGCATCACTCTGGAGACACGGCGGCCCGATCATGGGGCCGGCGCCGGCCCAGCAGGACGGCCCCGACGCCATGGAGCACCTCGACGAGGACCAGCACTGGCACCGATCGGCGACCATCCCGCATCCCATGCAGGCCACGCCTGTGCTTGAGCCGGCTTGGGCCGAGGGCGGCGCAGGTGGAGACACGACCTAGCACGCATCCTGCGCGAGGTCGTCCAAAAGGTGAAGCTGCTCATCGAAGACAAAGCCGAGGAGACGGCGGCCTGGATGGCGGCGAGGACGCACGCAGTCAGGTCGACCTACTCCACCCCGGATAAACCGGCAGTCACACAGATACCGGTTCTGCTGGAGCTCTTGCGGCGCCTGAACCTCACGGCGGACCTGACCGACGGCTTCGACATGATCGGCGCACTGCGGCCGGGCCCCGCGTGGCGCAAAAGGACCGACGACCGACACAAGTACCCGGCGTCCTTTTTGACACCCTCAGGCAGGTCAACGCCGACTATGTGCGGCGCAAGGTGGCCACGGCGAGCACCGGCGAGCACACCGAGACCCTGCTGCAGGAGCTTGTCGACGAAGTGAAGTTGGGGCGGGTCATTGGGCCCACTAGACCGCCGGCGTGGCTTAAGGCCAAGGCAACGGCACTGCCATGGGCCCTCGGCGCCACAGAGCTGGTGGAACCGCCGCCCGGCGAGGCCTTTCTAGCGGCGTCTTTCGCCATCATCCAGTTCGATGAGAACGGCGAGCCTAAGATTCGCCGCGGCGAGGATTGGCCGCTCCGGCCACAACACCACCATCGCGGCGGACGATGTGCCGACCCATCACTTCATAGGAGCCTTCGTCGACCTGGCGCGGCGCATGGCAGAAGACGGCGTCATCCTGGTGTTTGGGCACGATCTCCTGAACGCCTACCGCCAATGGCCGGTCAAGCACCCGGCGCTTGTGGCACATTCGTGGCCACGCCGGCGGGGATGACTTTCTGGTTTCATCTGGCGATGAACTTCGGCGCCACTGCCTCTGTGTGGAATTTTAACAGGGGCGGCGACGCATTGCAACAGCTCCTGCGAGGACTCCTTCTCCTCACGGCGGGACACTATGTCGACGACTTTAACGGCCTGGAGTTTGAGGAGCTCGGCGAGTCGGCTGGCAGATCCTTCGAGGAGCTCTTCGCGGCGCTTGGTTTCCGCATCAAAGCGTCCAAGTTCCAACCGGCGGCGCCAAAGCACGTGGTCCAGGGCGTCGCCTTCGAGCTGTCCCGGCGCGGTGTCACGGTCAGCCCGACACCACAAAGGGTGCGGCGCATTCTGGAGCAGATTCGGCGGGCCCTGGACCAAGACGCCATGAAGCCAGACGAGGCGCAAAAACTGGCCTGGAGACTCTCCTTCCTCACCCAGGCGGTCTTCGGCGGGGTAGGGAAGGCCCCCACCAAGGCGGTGTACGCCCGCCCGGCGGACACCTCGGCACACTCCGACGACAAGCTCTCTCTGGGGCTCCGATCGGCGCTCGTGGCCTTGGAGCACATCCTGCCGACGGTGAAGCCATGTGCTAGGGCGGCATGCGCTCGTGAGCAGGGCAGTCGTGGAGTGACCAGAGTTATTTGAGCAGTCCAGTCATGTGCGGTAGGTCCGCTAACATTTCTGACTGTGTCACGCGTTGCGACGACATGGACACGGCGGTGCTGTACGCGGACGCCTTCTTCCTGGACGGAGAGCGGCGACACAAAGCCGGCCATGTCCCCACTTCGGCGGACACTGGCGGAGCCAACAGAGCCAAAAAAGGATGGGGGTTTGTCCTCCGCCTCGGCGGCTCGGTCTTCTACGACCACGGCGTCGTGCCCACCTGGTTCCTGCAGAAGTTTGCGGCGCGACGGGCGTTCATCTACATGCTGGAAGTCTTCACCCAAATGGTGGCCCTCGCGGCGTTTTCGGCCTACCTCCCCGGCGCGGTCACCGCCTTCATTGATAATACGGCCGGCCAGGCGGCGCTGTCCAAGGGCTATGGGAAAGACCCGGCGATGAACGCGATGCTGGCGACCTTCTGGGCCATGTCGGCGAAGAAGGACATCCTGGTCGACTTCCGGCGGGTACCATCCAAAGCGAATGTGGCCGACGCAGTGTCCCAAGCCTCCGGCTCAAACCTGTTTCTTTTGTAGGGGTAGGGAGTTTTCGAACGTAGTTTTGCCCCCACCAGCGGGGACTCCAAACGTAGCTGATGCCATGGAAGGACTTTCAAGATTTTCGCTCTTGCCGTGTGCTGAGCAACCTAATCAGGAACAAACAGTCGTCAATGACAAGACAGCCAAGAAGGGGACAGACTCCATCGGCCCCAAGGGGGAGCCGCAGAAGGACGAACGTGACATCATCAGGAGCTCGCCTCATAACAAGATACCTTTCAGTGCTTGT